TAACTTATGGCACCATCAAATTCATTGTTAGAATAGTCCAAAATTCAGTTGCGCTTTTTTATGTTTAACATTTTTATGTAATTTTTGGGCTTTAACAATGAAATTTGCTTTACATTAAATTGTTGTCCAAAACTGCATTTAGTACGTTACTTCTCACTCATTTATACATTATATTCCCCAATGGGAATCATCAAATTCATTGTTAGAATAGTCGAAAATGCAGTTGTGCTTTTTTATGTTTACCATTTTTACGTAATTTTCGGGTCTTAACTATAGAATTGGCTTTATATTAAATTGTAGTCCAAAGCTGCTGCTGGTGTGTTATTTCTACGTTAGATTCATCTTTTGGAATAGGTTAAATCATTGGTAAACTGGTCGAAAAATCGGTTACTCATTCCATGTTAAACATTTTTTCGTAATTTTCGTGGTTTAACAATTGTAATTTCCCTTTTTTTAAATTGCAGTCCAAAGTTGTTGCTATAACGTTATTTCTCGTACATTTTTACATAACTTTTCTTTTTGGATCTGTCAGATTATTTGTTTAATATGTCGCAGTTTCGATTGCGCTTTTTTATTTTTTTATCATTTTTGTGCAATTTTTGCTCTTAAGCAATGTAATTTGAGAATATTGGGGCTTTATAATTCGAGCGTTCTATCCATGTTTTTCTCTCCGAATGCTCACTTCCTCTATGTGAACAGTAAAACAACTCTTGTCATTGCTGAATTAATAAACCAATTCAAAACTGGAACATATTTTTAGTTTTGATGAAATTCGACTACCAAAATTGTGGTATATTTTTATTTATCAGGTAAAATTAAAACTAAACAACGGTACGACACTAATTATCCATTCATTATTTTCTACTATTTCTTGGAAATTCAAGATGGAAGTGGATATCCTTTTCATGTTGGCTCCAAGAGATATGTAAGGATAAGTGTCCTTGCTGTTTATGTAACATTTTTGTTTATTACTAAAAGTTAAAATTGTTGTACCTGCTACGATATCAAACGTATAAAAATGGTATAATACTTATTAAATACCCATTCCTTTTTTCAGTTCAGTTTAGTGTATTTTTTTGAATATTCGCGTTAGCAAGTCGAATTCATTTGCATGTTATTTTTTGCTAGTTTATTAGAATTTTAGTCCTTACAGTACTTTTACACTATAGTTTTTTTGTAGAGATTGAATTTTAAATTTGTTGGTAACTGTGAGTTTTAGTTCGAAAGCTCTCCGCACTACGGTCGTCGATTGCGCCAGCAGTCTTTTAGTTCTGCCTCTGCTGGTCGTATTTTCACATACGTTACAAACTGGAAAATTCCATTGCTGTTTACTATCTTCGAGTGTTAATATACTTCTGTGAAATTATTTTGGAAAAATTGCAATTTTAGGCAATTCAGGCAGCGAAAATGTGGTGAAATCGAAAGCGAAGTATGTGGTGATATCAATATGTGCGTTTGATAACGAATCGTAAACATTTTACTCGTTATAAAAAAAGTTGTTAATAAAAACATCATCTACTGTTATCAAGATAGACGGTGTTACTCATCGATTAAACCAATGTAATATTTTGTGTAATGTGGAACATTTTTTACATGTTCCCAATAAGGAATTAAAACTGCTTTCCGGTGAGTTTTTGTCATTTAGTTTGTTCTCAAAATTTCGGTGATTAGGGTAGAATTTGTAGTTTTTCTATTTGCAAGGTACTTCTTATAAGTTATTTTTAAACCATTTAGCTACAATTTTAAGCATATTAATTAAGCTTATAGGAAATAAGAAATTCCAATTGTTTTATCAAAAATTCCTTCTACAAATGATTTCATAATTATAATTATAGCGCATTCTGTACAAAAGATTGTTCATATTTTTACATTTTGGGGTTAAAAAATTAATACAAGTGTAACTGCTCACTGCTATTTTCCGCAATTAAACGATATATAAGGCTGCCTTTGTTCGTTAGCCTAGCGGTAATACGGTCGCAAATCGTTGGTTGACTGCCTAGACGCTGGTGGAGGGTACCTTATAGCAAAGCATTATTAGGTGGAATAGGCCAAACGGGGGCGACTGTAAGTCCGGCGTTATATTACCCCCGTATTTTCCACTGTTTCAGTTATCGGTTAATCGTCGAACCCGATTTCTCAGGTATCCTTCATCATGAAGAGTTAGTGGTGAAGCTGAGAGGCGGGTATCGGCGTTTAACTGGTAGCTGGAGGAATGTTAAATGCGGGTTTTTTGCACCTTTTAATGATAAAGTTTATAAGAAGATATTCTACACATCAATAACAAAATTACAAACAATTGATAATTAATAAATAATATCTCAACATTTTTACCAAAAATAATTGGCTTGGTTTTCATTTTTTCTTAAATTAAATACGATAATTTACGTATATCAACAGAACTGTGTATCGGTATTAGGAATAAAACATCTTCTTACTTATAGTCTTTTTTAATTTATAACTGTGAAAGCAGTTATAATTTTTGACGTAAGTTAAGAAAGTTTGTGCTATTATCTAATTTACCTAATTTATTCGAGCAATAGTAATTTGGGTACAGTTTCTACTAAATTTCAGTTTGGTTTAGTATTTACGTAATAATTTACCTATTTATACTGAACGGATAAGTAATTTTTAAACGATATAAAGAAGATCTCAGAATAATTGTTTCAGAAACTTCCACTGAGTTCCTCTGTGTTTAACATTTTTACGTAATTTTTTCTTTTTAATAGTAAAATTTGATTTAATATAAACCGCAGTCAAAAACAGTTGTCAATAAGTCATTTGCCACATACTTATATATAACTTTCACTTTTGGATTCATCGAAATAATTATTTAAAAGGTCAAAAATTCAGTTGCGATTTTTTAAAGTATATCATTTTTGTGTAATTTTCGCGCTTAAGAAATGAAATTTGAGAAGATTGTATAGTTTTACTATTCGAGCGTACTGTCCATCTTTTTCAATCCGAATGATCACTCTCTCTATCTGAACGGTACAACAACTCTGTTTTTGCTGTATTAATAAACTAACTGAAAACTTATCCACATTTTTACGTAATCTTCGGTTGTTAACAATGAACTTTGATTTATTCTAAAACTATTATCTGTACGTTGCTTCTCACACATTTTTACATATTTTTCATCATTTGGATCCATAAATATGATTGTTTAACAAGTCGAAAATTCCGTTGCGCTTTTTTATGTTCAACATTTTTTTGAAGCTTTTGGGGTTTAATAACCAAATTTGGTTTATTTAAAATTGCTGCGTAAAACTATTACACGTACGTAACTTCTCACACATTTGCCCTTTGGAACCGTAAAAATCACTGTTCAATTATCCGAAAATTCTGCTATGCTTCCTTATGTTTAACATGTTCTCAAAAATTTCGGGTTTTAACAATAAATTTTGGATTATTTTTACAAACCTGTTGCCGACACGGTATTCCTTACCAATTCCCACAAAGCTTTTAACTTTCTGAACCATTGCAATCATTGTTTAACAAGTCGAAAATTTAGTTGCGCTGCGCTTTTTCATGTTTACCATTTTCACGAAATTTTCGGTTCTTGACGTTGATATTTGCTTTATATTAAATTATAGTGCAAAACTGCTTTTAGTGCATTACTTCTCACGCATTTCTACATTACATTCACATTTTGGAACCATCGAATTCATTGTTAAACAGGTTGAAAATCCAATTGCGCTTTTTAATGTTTTACAAATTCACGTAATTTTCGGTTCTCAACAATGAAATTTGCTTTATATTAAATTATAGTGTAAAACTGCTTTTAAACGCATTTCTTTGTTACACTCCCATTTTGGAACTATAAATTTCATTGTTAAATAGGCTGAAAATCCAGTTGCGCTTTTTCATGTTTAACATTTTTACATAATTTTCGGGTCTTAACAATGAAATTTGCTTTATATTAAATTATAGTGCATTACTTTTGACGCATTTCTACATAACATTCACATTTTGGAAGCATCGAATTCATTGTAAAATAGGTTGAAGCTCCAGTTTCGCTTTTTCATGCTGAAAACTTTTACGTAATTGTTGGGTCTTAACTATGAAATTTGCTTTATATTAAATTGTGATCCACTTCTGCTGTTGGTATGTTACTGCTTACGCTTTTCTGCATTAAATTCGCCTTCTGGAACCATCGAATTCTTTGTTAAACAGGTTGTATATCCGGATGCGCTTTTTCGTGATTTTTTTCTATTTCATGATGATTTTTGCTAGTTTATTAGAATTATAGTCCTTACAGTTTTTTTACACTATAAATTTTAAGTAAAAATTGAAATTTTAACTTGTTGGTAACTACGAGTATTACTTCAATAGCTCTCCGTATTACGGTCGTCGATTGCGCCACTAGTCTTTGAGTTCTTCTCTGCTGATCGTAGTTTCTCGTTTATTAAAGGGACTGAAAGTACAAAAATATGTGGAACGGGCATCACTGAACCAATGTACATAATTATAAATTACGGTGGTGTACTTTCAAGTCCCGATTTGGAAACGCTGTTAATATTTCTTGAGGTACTAATTTTTCTTTTATTAAAGGTGCTCAAAAAGCCAAAGTATATTATATTTGTTGCGGGGCATCACTGAATAAATGCGTGTAATTTGAAATTAGTGAGTTTTCTTTCAACTCTCCTTTGGAAGACGCTGTTTTTATTTCGTGAGATACTAATTTCTAGATTATTTATTAAAGAAGCTGAAAGTACCAAAATGTAATAAAGTTGTTGTGGGTCATCAGTGAAGCTATATTTCTAGTTAGAAATTACCAAAATGCACATTCAACTCCTGATTTAAGAACAAGTGTTTTGTTTTTTTTTTTTTTTTTAATAGTTTCTCATTTATTAAATGTGCTAAAGATACCAAAATGCATCCATGTTGTTGCGGGACATCAATGTGAAGATGTTACATGTTATAAATTGGCCCCCCATTATAACTGCTCTTCTTTTATTTTTTGACATAGTAATTTCTAGAAAAACTTAATGTTGTTTCAGGTGAATATCGCAAATCTGGTCATCGAACAAGGAGCACACCACTAATGAAACAATTCCAGAATGATTGGAATGACACTTTAAATAGTAGTAAGATTATATTTCTTATTTATTTTTCAAATGTAAGACTACAAATTCTTTTCCTTTTTTTTATTTTATTGTATTAAACATTAGTTTATTTATTTAGCTTTTTTATTTCTTGTTTTTCCTGTTAAAATAAACTTAGATTTGTGTAGATTGACTTTAAGACTTCCCATTCTTTCAGTTACTTTCCAGTTCAGTTATCGAACAGGGGGCACATCATCGATGAACCACTTCAAGGATTGTCAAGAGGAGATCTCCTAGGAAATCCGAGGTTCCTTGGATATTCCGTAATACGAGAGAAGGAACTAAACTTACCCTGCCACAAACGAGTGAGTGTTTTTATACTTTGAGATAGTAATATTATTAAAGGAGACGAAAGTACCAAAATGTATTCAAGGTGTTCGATGTCATCAGTAAGTAGTTATTTGTAGTTAGAAATTATGAAAGGACTTTCTTGCCGCAATGTGATAAAAACATTATTTTTATTTCTTGAGATAGTATTAGTTTTTATATTATTAAAGGTGCCGAAGGTACTAAATTGTATTAAGGGTGTTCTATGACATCATTAAGTAGATATTTGTAATTAAAAATTACGGAGGATGTACTTTCATGCTAATTAAGTTTCGGGAATTTGAAACTTTGTTTTAAAAAAACGTTTATTAAAAACTAGAGATTACAATCGACTTCCTTATTAGAAGGATGAAAAGTAACTTACTCTAAAAACTATTCTTTCTTTTCTCTACACATAAAAAATGAAAATACATAATACATATATAAAAAAAATGATGAGGCATTAGATTTAATGCANAACTATTGGAGATATCGCAAAAATTCTTCTACCACCAGTTCTCACCCTTATCGTCTTGAACCCAGAGAACCGAGAGAACTTTGGAGAAAAATTAAATCCAAAATTTCTAAAAATTTTGAATTTTTAATCAAAACCGAATTTGATCGTTTTAGCGTTTTTCTTAGTCGACAGTATGGCTCATATTTTCCGATTAAATTGTCCGATTTCCATGGGAGTGCAATCACAATTTTCTAGAGACACTGTGCATCACGCCGAGGACCAAAGTGCCCCATTACGATATTCCCTTACAGAGTTACGGCTGTTAGAAGTTTTGGCCCAGTGTTATTTTTAAAATCGAGAATTAAATGTTTAGGAGAACATATCTGGCGAACTATTAAAGAGAGAGCAAAAATGCTTTCACCAACGGTTGGCCCGTACCTAAGTGTATGGGAAAAATTTAATTTTGAAGAAAAAAAAATTAAAAAATTTTGAATTTTTCATCAACACCGAATGCGACCTCATACGGCTCATATTGTTCGCGCTGAGACGGGGCATCCGTCTGTGAAAGAATTTTTCCGATAAGTCGTACTGTTATCGAGCTACAGGGTACAAAAGGTAAAATTTGAAAATTTTTCGCTCAGGAACATGGCCGCAGTTGAAAATTCATAGCTCCTCACCTCGACGTCCGATGCGTTCGAGTCATAGATGGTTCGAAGCCCAATGCATGGGGGAAGTTTTTGATAAAAACCCCAGTGACCTATGACATTCCCGGCCTGCTCTAGCGCCAACCGAATTCACGTAATTTTCCCTACTTTTCGTTTTAGCGTTTTTCTTAGTCGACAGTATGGCTCATATTTTCCGATTAAATAGTCCGATTCCCATGGGAGTGCTATCAAAATTTTCTAGAGACACTGTGCATCATGTCGAGGTCCAAAGCGCCGCCCTACGATATTCCCTTACAGAGTTACGGCTGTCAGAAGTTTTGGCCCAGTGTTATTTTTAAAATCGAGAATTAAATGTTTAGGAGAACATATCTGGCGAACTATTAAAGATAGAGCAAAAATTCTTTCACCAACGGTTGGCCCGTGCCTAAGTGTACGGGAAAAATTTAATTTTGAAGAAAAAAAAATTAAAAAATTTTGAATTTTTCATCAACACCGAATGCGACCTTATACGGCTCATGTTGTTCGCGCTGAGACGGGGCATCCGGCTGTGAAAGAATTTTTCCGATAAGTCCTACCGTTTTCGAGCTACAGGGCACAAGAGGTTAAATTTGAAAATTTTACGCTCAGGAACATGGCCGCAGTTGAAAATTCGTAGCTCCTCACCTCGACGTCCGATACGTTCGAGTCGTAGATGGTTCGAAGCCCAATGCATGGGGGAAGTTTTTGATAAAAATCCCATTGACCTATGACATTCCCGGCCTGCTCTAGCGCCAACCGAATTCACGTAATTTTCCCTACTTTTTGTTTTAGCGTTTTTCTGAGTCCACTGTATGGCTCATATTTTCCGATTAAATGGTCCGATTTGTATGGGACTATTATCAAAATTTTCTAGAGACACTGTGCATCACGTCGAGATCAAAACCGTCGCCCTACGGTATTCCCCTACAGAGTAACAGCTGTCGAAAATTTTGGACCAGTGTTATTTTTAAAATCGAGCAAAAAATGTTTAGGAGAACATATCTGGCGAACTGTTAAAGATAGGGCAAAAATTCTTTCACCAACGGTTGGCCCGTACCTAAGTGTACGGGAAAAACTTAATTTTGCAGAAAAAAAAAATAAAAAATTTTGAATTTTTCATCAACACCGAATGCGACCTTATACGGCTCATGTTGTTCGCGCTGAGACGGGGCATCCGGCTGTGAAAGAATTTTTCCGATAAGTCCTACCGTTTTCGAGCTACAGGGCACAAGAGGTTAAATTTGAAAATTTTACGCTCAGGAACATGGCCGCAGTTGAAAATTCGTAGCTCCTCACCTCGACGTCCGATACGTTCGAGTCGTAGATGGTTCGAAGCCCAATGCATGGGGGAAGTTTTTGATAAAAATCCCATTGACCTATGACATTCCCGGCCTGCTCTAGCGCCAACCGAATTCACGTAATTTTCCCTACTTTTCGTTTTAGCGTTTTTCTTAGTCGACAGTATGGCTCATATTTTCCGATTAAATAGTCCGATTCCCATGGGAGTGCTATCAAAATTTTCTAGAGACACTGTGCATCATGTCGAGGTCCAAAGCGCCGCCCTACGATATTCCCTTACAGAGTTACGGCTGTCAGAAGTTTTGGCCCAGTGTTATTTTTAAAATCGAGAATTAAATGTTAAGGAGAACATATCTGGCGAACTATTAAAGATAGAGCAAAAATTCTTTCACCAATGGTTGACCCGCATCGTCGCGAACAGGACAAACTTAATTTCGAAAGAAAATAAAATATAAAATTTTTGAAAATTTTGAATTTCCGATCGGCACGGATTTCGACCGCACATGTCCTATAATGTTCGCACTAAGTCGGGGCACCCGTCTGTGAAAGAATTATTCCGATAAGTCCTACCGCTTTCGAGCTACAGGCTACAAAATCACAAATTTCAAAATTTTGCGCTCAGGAACATGACCGCGGTTGGAAATTCGTAGCTCATCACCTCGACGTCCGATGCGTTCGAAACGTAGAGGGTTCGAAGCCCAATGCATGGTATTTTAAAGTCCGGTAACTCTTAAGTGTAGAGACCTAATGAAAATCTGGTTAAACTATCGACAAGACCAGAGAGTGGCGCATGTAGTGACATTTTGACCTTTTAAAAATAAAATTTCTAAGTGTGCCAAAAGAGACAGACAAGATATCAATTTTGTTCGATTTATCGAAAACACATGGTATTTTAAAGTCCGGTAACTCTTAAGTGTAGAGACCCAATCAAAATCTGGTTAAACTATCGACAAGACCAGAGAGTGACGCATATAGTGACATTTTGACCTTTTAAAAATAAAATTTCTAAGTGTGTCAAAAGAGACAGACAATATATCAATTTTGTTCGATTTATCGAAAACACATGGTACTTTAAAGTCAGGTAACTCTTAAGTGTAGAGACCTAATGAAAATCTGGTTAAACTATCGTCAAGACCAAAGAGTGGCGCATGTAGTGACATTTTGACCTTTTAAAAAAAAATTTTCTAAGTGTGCCAAAAGAGACAGCGAAAATATGAATTTTGTTTGATCTAGCAAAAACACATGGTATTTCTGTAACCCTTAATACATGGGCTTATTTTTTGACTATCATTTAAGGTGGTTGAGACATGTTGAATATTTTTTCTAATTATCTAAATTCCTGTTTACTGAAATCTTAAAAATGATTTTGTTATGCCTTTTTTCCATAGTGTTATGCAATATGGAATAATTGCTTGGAGAGGTGCTTACAATAATAACGTAGAAGTAGGTACTACAAAAATTACAAAACAGAATACTAAAAATAATTACTAAAAACCAATTTTATACTAATTCTCCTGTCAATATCAGATGATACTTTACTGTGGTTCGTAAACTGAAGGCCCAAATTAAAATATGCTCAAACAGCTGGAAATAGCATACATTGGTCCATTATTCAAACCTTATTTCCAAGAATTCAAAATAATTTTTTTTTGTATACCAAATTTGAGTTGTATAACCAATTTATTTCGAAGAAACAGATGACATTTTATAGGTCCGTAGAGTATACAAGGAAAACCAATATTCATATCGGATCAAACCTTCTGAAAGAGTAGATGTTGATACATTTAACTACTTATCCGAAGGTACAAAATTAAATTTGTAACGAGGGCAAAATGCCTAAAAAAGCTAGAATTTGGTCGATTTACCAAAAACATATGACAGTTTGCAGGGCCATGGATAGGAATGGATGTCCAAATTGGAATTTATTCAAACCACTGGAATCAGCAGACATTGGTACATACAACCACACTTTCTAAGTTTAAAAAAAAGTCTAAGCATACACGTGAATGCACAATTATGAAACAACATTTTTTTATTTTGATTTCGCAAAAACAAAGCCATGGGTCATTAATTTAAACTCCGAATTAAAATCTGCACTAATCGTCGCAAAGGGACGATTGTAAAAGTTGGAATTTTTGTTGAATAGTCGTTTCTAACAATTGTGCACATTTAAAATTTTCCATAAAGATTTTCGTTCGAGTTTATAATATTATTTTAGTATCTTTACCTTTATTTGACCTCCAGAATCTTGAGCTTCATATTATTAGAAATGAAGGAGATTTTTTGTGACCGCTGAACGGATTACGATAACAGATTTCTTTGTCTGGGTATTGCCGTTGTTTAACACAACAATTTCAAGTTAGAAATACGTTTATATTAAAATATTGTAAAAACACTTTTCGCTTATATTGTTATGTTAAATATAATAAAACGTTGATAATCTTCACTCTATTGTTTCTATAATATTACAGTTGTTTTGGTACATTATATCTTCTTCAGGCTGATTTACTTTTAAACTGTCTTTACTGATCACTTTAATTAAATCAGGCCGAAAAAGTCATATTTTACCGAAATAGTTGTGACATTATAGAAACGATAAAAAGAGTAACAATTAGAAATATTGGTGATTATTTTTATTATATTTAACATGAATTTGAATCTTCATCCAGTGTCGATCCAATCAATTCAACTATTTACATTTTTACTTAAATTTTATTATAGAAAACTAGCAGCGAAACCCGGCGTTGCTCTGGTTAAAATACATCGCATGTTTAATGGTATATAAAATATTCAAGGATCCACTTTTTAACGTAGATAATATAGATTTCTATCTTAGATACCACCCTGTACCTTTATAAAATTTCTTAATAATAGTAGATCGTTCTAGAATATTCTAGAATATTTGGACAAAATCTAGAAAATTCTAGAAATCATTGATAATTAATTAAGGACATTTGGAACTTTCCACATATTTCTAGAACTTTCTGGA